CCCAAGCATCGAGGGGGTTAATGCCCAGAGTAACATCAAGCCCATGGGGTATTGAAAGAAGTCTCCAACCATCCCAAACCACAAGAGATAAGAATTCACGACTATCCCAACCATCCAACGCAAGGACCATCCATTCCACAATAACCACAACAGATAATATCCCACGTCCATTCAGTGCAAGAGCCATCCATTCATCCAGAGTCACAAGAAACAAGGACACTCAACCATCCAATGCAGAAACCATCCATCTCTCAAGACCCACAACAAACAAGACCCAAACGTTCAAATACCTCCTAGGAACAACCCCACCAGTAGTAAACACAAAGAAAATTATTTCATACAGAATTCTGGTAATCTCTTGTCTATCTTGCCAAAAGACTTGCTACTTCCCTCACAGCAAGACCTGTCACTGTGAAATGGATGTAAGGTGTGATTTTAGGCAACGGTCAAACTTCTAGCGAAAGGGAACGCTAGAGGGAGTCCGTCATTATCAATAACGAGTTTGATTTCTGTGTTCCAATTGGCTGTCGGTGTAGTAATAGGATATTTAATCATGGTGAACTAGATTAGTCTTCAAAAATCATAATATACATTTAAATATCTTAACTATTGAAGTGTATTAAAGTAAAACGTTAAATAGTGTTAAATAGTTTAATAGTGATGCTCTTTTGTTATGTGTTAAGGAAACATTGACTAAGGATCTGTGTTTATTGACATCCAAGACGAAGCTCAAGAAACAAGGAGGAGGAAGAGGAGGACGTCTGTACCCCACCGTGTCATGAACCATACTGAGGACATTAGATTGAAAACAAGTGCTGCCGGGGTAGGGAAAACATATCATACTGCCCAAAACATTGTACATTTACCCTATAAGTACAATGATACTTTGAATATATATTAATAATACTAGGAAATATATTACTGTTTATAATAATACTTGAGACCTATAATAATATACTGTACACCTGATGATGATGATAATAATAATAATCACCTGAGTACCTACACCTGATGATGATGATAATAATAATAATCACCTGAGTACCTACACCTGTATCCAATTAACCTAACTAAATAATAAACACAAACAACAATAATAATAAATAATAATAATAATAATAATAATAATAATAATAATAACAATAACAATAACAATAATAATAATAACAATAATAATAATAATAATAATAATAATAACAATAACAATAACAATAATAATAATAACAATAATAATAATAATAATAATAATAATAACAATAACAATAACAATAATAATAATAACAATAATAATAATAATAATAATAATAAATTTTACTCCCATTCAGCTGATGACATGTATGTATGTGTGTGTGTGTGTGTGTGTGTGTCTGTGTGTACGTGCATGAATGTTTATATGCACATACTCTATATTCGTGTAAGCAGGTGTACAAAGTATGTGTGTGCGTGCTTATAATCGTGTACACTTCCCACATACTTCACGTGTGGCTTATAATAGACAGACAGACAGACACACACACACACACACACACACACACACACACACACACACACACTCACACATTCACTCTGTTTGGAAATTTAACATTACAGATACTTAACACACATACACGTTCTAAGCAACACTCTCTCTCTCTCTCTCTCTGTCTCTCTGTCTCTCTCTCTCTCAACTCCTCATTGATAAACATACAGTACAACCCCACAACACCTCCACACCCACCCCCACCCTCATCCCCCACCCCACCCCCCTCCTCCTCTTATAAACATTCCCATTTTCTTTTTGTTGTAACTTTCCGATCACCCGCATCCCGTTTTCTATAAGAGCAACATTACACCGGAGACTTAGCTAAATCCATCATCATACAGTAATAGGGAGTGAAAAGTGATCACCCTCATCTTGTTTTCTTTGAGTTTACAGCTATAGGATAGACTGCAGTTATTTAGCTGGGAATAGGAAATAGTTAGCTTGATATGGGAAATAGTTAGCTTGATATGGGAAATAATTAGCTGGATACGAGAAACAACATTAATAGTCACCACTCACATCCCGTTTTCTTTGAGTGTAGCGAGAATTAACATACACTAACTAACCACCAACCCACACTCCGTTTTCTTTCACCGGAGCGTTACAGCACAGACGATTCTAATTATAGCCAATAGGCAGAAAGTAATAGAGGTGATGAGTGGACAACCCGCATTACAGGTTTGTGTGTGTGTTAGTGGTGACTGGTGAGGTAATGGAGGAGGAGGGGGAGGTGAGGGAAGGAGGTGAGAAGTGTGAGGGAGGAGGGAGGTGGGGAGTGAGGAAGGAGGAGGAAGGAGGAGGTGAGGAAGGTGGGGGTTGAGGAAGGAGGGGGAGGAGGGAAGGAGGAGGTGAGGAAGGAGGGGAAGGGGGGTGTGATGGGAAGGAGGGGGTGAGGAAGGAGGGGTGAGGGAGGAGGGTGGGGAGGAGGGTGAGGGAGGAAGGAGGAGGTGAGGGAAGGAGGGAAGGGGTGAGGTAGGA